GGTGTCAGATGTCAAAGTAGGACTAACAGTCAAATCTGGTGCAAAGCAAAGTCATTGGATCTGGTTATACAATAAGGTATCTTAATAGGATTATTTAATCAATCCAATATCTACCTCTTTTCTAGAAATTAGGCAAATTTGTGATCGGGAAAAAAAATACAAAAACCTGGGTAAGATAAAGGAAGTCCATTTGTTTCAGTTTTGCTAACTAAAGATGACCAACACACCTGATATAAGATTCACTGCTGTGCTGGGGGCAAAAGGAGAGGTCAAACCTGGTGAGAAGAAATGAGAAGAAAAATGTATATTTGTTTCATATAAAATAAAATACACTTTTATTTATCTCCCGAGTGGCGCAGTGGTCTAAGGCACTGCATCGCAGTGCTAGCTGTGCCACTAGAGATCCTGGTTTGAATCCAGGGTTGTGGGTTCAATTCCCACGGGGGGCCATTATGAAAGAAATTAAAATAATGTATGCACTCACTAACTGTAAGTCGCTCTGGATAAGAGCGTCAGCTAAATGACTAAAATGTAAATTTGTCACATGTGCCGAATACAACAGGTGTTACAATACAACCTTACCGTGAAATGCTTACTTACATGCCCTTAACCAACAATGCAGTTTTTTATAAGTAAGAAAATATTTGCTAAAACAATGATACATATATTAAAATAAACTAAAGTAACAAAAAAGTAACACAATAAAATAACAATAACGAGGCTAATACAGGAGGTTATTGAGGTAATATGTACATGTAGGTAGGGTTAAAGTGACTATGCATAGGTAATAAACAGCGAGTAGCAGCAGTGTAAAAAAGGGGGTCAATGCAAATAGTCCGGGTAGCCATTTAATTAACTGTTTAGCAGTCTTATGGCTTGGGGTTAGAAGCTGTTAAGGAGCCTTTTGGACCTTGAATTGGCACTCCGGTACCGCTTGCATACCTTGGCATTCTTGGGCAGAGGGACTATGGTGGTCTGCTTGAAACATGTCGGTATTACTGACTCGGTCATGGAGAGGATGAAAATGTGCTCTCAGTACACGTCCTGGTAATCCGTCTGGCCCTGCAGTCTTGTGAATGTTGACCTGTTTAAAGGTCTTACTCACATCGGCTACGGAGAGCATGATCTCACAGTCGTCCAGAACAGCTGGTGCTCTAATGCATGGTTCAGTGTTGCTTGCCTCGAAGCAAGCATAGAAGGCATTTAGCTCATCTGGTAGGCTTTCGTCACTGGGCAGCTCATGGCTGGGTTTCCCTTTGTAATCCGTAATAGTTTACAAGCCCTGCCATATCCGATGAGCATCAGAGCCGGTGTAGTAGGATTCAATCTTAGTCCTGTATTGACGCTTTGCCTATTTGATGGTTCGTCGGAGGGCATAGCAGGATTTCTTATAAGCGTCTGGATTAGTTACCCGCTTCTTGAAAGCGACCAGCTCTAGCTTTATGCTCATGTGCGATGTTGCCTGTAATCCAGGGTGGCTTCTGGTTGGGATACTTGGTGGAAAATAAAAATTTTGGTCAATAAAAAAAAGTTTCTCAAACTTTTTTATACCCCTTTTTCCCGGATGGCCTTCCTTCATGCCCTTTCCCAAATTTTTTTTTGGGGTTTTTAAAAAAGGGGTTTTAAAAATAAACCCAAAGATTTAAAAGCCTTAAAAAAAAATTTTCCCGGGCTGGGTTTTTATTTTGGGTAATTTTTTTGTTCAAAAGGGTTTTTCAAAAAAAAAATTGTAAAATGTTATTTTCTTCAAAAAACCTTAAAAAACAAAAAAAGGGGAAATTTTTTAAAATGTGGGGGTTTTTGGGTGCCTAGCATTTTTTAACCCCTTTTTTAAAAAAAGGGGTTTTAGAAAGACTTTAAATTTTTTTTTTTTTTGGGTTTGGAAACTGTTAAAGGGCTTTTGACCGGATTTTGCCCCCCCCCGGGGGGGTTTCCCGTTTTTTTGGCCCAAACCGGCTCGGGGCAGGGATATGGTCTCTTGCTGGGTTTTCTACCGTCTGGGGGGAAAAATTTTGCCCAAACCCTTGGTAACCCCGCTGGCCCGTCGGAATTACCTTTTTTAAGGTCTTTTTCAAAATGAAAGGGACTTCCTCCTCCTCCAAACCCGCGGGTTCCAATGGGGGGTTTGCTTGCCTGGAAAGCTAAACATTTTTTCGGGTGTTTTTCGTCCTGGGAGTTGGTGGTTTTTGTAATGTTTTTTTTTACAAGCCCTGCCAATCCGATGAACAGACCCGGGGTTAGTGGAAAATTTTTTTTCAATCTTATTTATTCCCGTTTCCCTATTTAAAATTTGTTTTTCAGGGATAAATTTTTTAAAGGTCTGGTTAAAAACCCCCCCTTTGAAAACGCTCTACTTTTTAGTGGGGGCCTTTTCCCCACTTCTTTAATTTTGTATGTCGGTCACCGTGGGGACACGTGTCGATGCACTTATTGATGAAGTGGGTGACTGTGGTGGTATATCCTCAAATTCCATGGATGAATCCAAAACATTTCTAGTCTGTGCTAGCAAAACAGTCCTGTAGCTTAGCATCCGCGTCATCTGACCACTTCCGTGATGAGCGAGTTACTGGCACGTCCTGCTTGAGTTTTTGCTTGTTAGCAGGAATCAGGAGGATAGAATTATGGTCAGATTTGCCAAATGGTGGGTCGAGAGGAGAGCTTTGTACGTGTCTCTTGTGTGTGGAGTAAAGGTGGTCTAGAGTTGTTTTCCCTCTGGTTGCACATTTTACATGCTGGTAGAGATGAAGTAAAACAGATTTAAGTTTTCCTGCATTAAAGTCCCCAGCCAATAGGAGCGCTGCTTCTGGGTGAGCATTCTCTTGTTTGCTTATGGACTTATACAGCTCGTTGAGTGCGGTCTTATTGCCTGCATCGGTTTGTGATGGTAAATAGACAGCTATGAAAAATATAGATAAACTCTCTTTGTAAATATTGTGGTCTTCAGCTTATCATGAGATCCTCTACCTCAGACGAGCAAAACCTCTAGACTTCCTTAATATTAGAGATCGCGCACCAGCTGTTATTGACAAATAGACACAGACCACCACCCTCCTCTTACTGGAAGTTTATTGTTCTGTCTTGCCGATGCACGGAAAACCCAGCCAACTGCATATTATCCATGTCCTCGTTCAGCCACGACTCGGTGAAACATAAGATAGTGGGACAGATGGTAAAGGCGGATTATCCACTTGCAGACTAATTCTCACCAAGCATCCGGGTCTGCGGCCCCTGTATCGGTGTCTCCTCTTCATGCGAATTACGGGGCCTGGTCCGAGAGGAGATGTCAATCTTTCTCCTCCAATTCATTACAGAAAAAATCTTTGTCCAGTGAGTAATTGCTGTTCTGATATCCAGAAGCTCTTTTCGGTCATAAGAAACATTATGTACAAAAAAAGTTACAAACAACGTGAAAAAACACCCAGAATAGCACAATTGGTTAGGAGCCCATAAAACGGCAGCCATCCCCCTCCAGCGCCATTCATATCTAAGAAAAGTACAACAATTTAGAGTGAAAGTACAAGCAGCTATGAATAAGTCTATGAGTAAACCTGTTGGAGTTTTAGTGAATTAGAGTGAACAAAAATGGAATTGCAAAGTAAGGGATACTTACTAGTTGGTCTCACTGTGATGTCAGGGGTCAAAGTAGAAGTAACAGTCGAACCTGTTGGAAGTAATAAAAGTGAATTCTGTATCTGATTACACAAGAAGAAAGGTATTCATTATTTCTGTTAGAAAACAACACCACTCAGTCAGTAGAAAGATTAAATGTTTAAAATGTCATAATTTGGCATATTATTGTTAAAACCCAGACCCTTAAAAGCTTATGGTGTACCATGGGATGCCCCGTTAACATCCCACATAATGCTTACATGGACAGATCTTTCATTAACTTCTAAAATGGTCTCTGCCACTTGTGATTGCCTGCTGTCTGTTAAATGCTACACATTGGGTGTCACTCTAGTATGGAACTGTGAAATGCAGGGATTGGGGCATGACCTGAACTGGGATACCATTTGGGAAAATATATTTGTTACCTCTAAAAACCCAGCACACCAGCTTATACATTATAAGGTTATGCGTAGAAGTTATGCAACCCCATTTAGATGTTTTAAGATTAAGCAGATTCCTACTCCAATATGTGATAGATGCTGTATGAATGCTGTTGAAACACTAATGCACATGTTTTGGGAATGTCCTATGGTGTCCCAGTTCTGGTCACATGTTTCAGATTTCCTTACAAAAAGTATGTGTTTCCCTGTGAACAAAGATCCACCATTATTTTTGTTGAATGATCACTCTTCCTTTGTACTGCAACTGGTTCAGAAAATAAGCCTTTATGCGAGGTTAAAAGCAGCAAAAAAGGTTATCCTTAGTGTTTGGATTACCCCTACAATCCTCTCGCCTCAAACATGGTTATCATATTATCAAGATATTGTTCGTATAGAGCGATCAGCGGCCGTGATAAACAAAGCTCCGGCAAATACAGTTGATGCATGGGATGTATTATGCAAAACTCTATCAGATATCAACAACTCTTGACCAAGCAGTGGACCTACATGGTAAGGGAGTGGGGGGGGGGAGACAGTTTCTTTTCTGAGAATAATATAGAATATGTTTCATTGTAAACTCTACTTCCTTCCTGTAAATGTCATATTGTGCACTCAAATAATTGACTCCTGACAGTATGTAAATAGTTTATTTTATGTTAGTGTTGTCATGTCTGCTAATATTTGTAACATGATCCTGCCTTGTGTGCTGTATAAGGTGAAATAAAAATAAAATGTTGATCACAAAAAAATAAACAGACCCTTGACATAACGTACAGGTGGAAACAGTATTTGAGCGCCCACTCCAGAAGCCACACCCACTGCTGCCTGCCATAATTGCACAGTTTGGTGACATTGGAAAGGTTTATTAACTTGTATTCCCAGGGTCAATACTACATCTCAAGATTTGTGTGTGAAAAAACAGGTAGTCAGCTAGAGAAGGATACTTACCCAGAACGCTTTCTGTGGAGCTTTGACCTCCTGGGCACATGCAAGAGAGAGACTGTTTAATAACAGTTAACACACAACACAACTTATTACGCCACTAAACTAAAATCGTGTGGCCACTTTGGGGTATCAGTTGTCAAAGTAGAACTAGTAGTCCAACCTGGTGCAAAGCAAAGTCATTGGATCTGATTACACAAAAATAAAGATATCTAAATGGGTTGATTTAATTAATTAAATATCAACTTTCTTTTTTATCAGGGAAAATGTGTGAGTAAAAAACCTGGGTAAGATAAAGCTATTCTATTTGTTTAGGTTCTATCTACTAACTAGAGAAAGATGACCAACACACCTGATGTAGGATTCACTGCTGTACTGGGGGTCAAAGGAGAGGTCAAACCTGGTGAGATGAGATAACTCATATTACACAAAAACAAATATAAATTAATGTAATATCTAAGGTCATTCAATAAGCAGAAAGAGAGAAGTACACTACACATTACCTACAAATCAGATGAATCAATCAAAATCTGGACTGAAAATCACAAGCAGCTATGAATGGGTCAATTCATAAATCGGTTGGAGCTTTAGTGAATTAATGTGAACAAAAATATAGATGTAAGTTAAACTTTGTAGGCCTACTTACTGGTAGTTGGTCTCACTGTGGTGTCTGGGGTCAAAGTAGAAGTAACAGTTGAAACTAGTCGGAAGCAATATGATTACACAAGAATACAGTATTACATTAAAATGTTGGTCACTTAATTTTACAGGCCCGTGATCTAAACCCTTGACTGTACAATTGGTATTTGCAGAGATGGTGATTTAGAGGACCAACACACCTTCTGTAGGACTCACTGTCGTGCTGGCCGGCAAAGTAGATCTAGGACCTGGAGTCAAACCCACTGAGAAGAAATATTAATGAAATTAGCATTTTATTCATGATCATATTAATGATCATTATGTTGTTGTTGGCCTTTTGAAATATCTTTATGACAAAGTAGGACTATAAAAATCACTACAGACAGATTGCTTCTAGCCCAGGTTGATTATATTTCTCCTCATTATAGAGATGATAAGACCAATTCATAAGGTGATAAAGTCTTTCAGGACAGATAAGGTGTTGATTGTTGTTGACAGCTTCCTAGAATAAGGTCACCGTGTTATCTAACAGCAGAAGCATAACAGTGCATAGATACGATCTAAACACTAAACCAGATTGAACAAAGAAATTGTATTACTTGTGGTAATGGTCCCAGGCGCTGATGTTGAGACTGGTTTCATATTTATGAACACAATTATATAAGGTTTCTAATGTAAAGTGTTCTAAACAACATCCTCCATCATCAACACAATGAATTACAGAGAAAGCCATTCCAACAGCTATACTTACTGCTGAAACCCCCTTTGTCTCCCTGCTGTAGAGAATGTCTGTTTAGCTGTTGGATCACTGATGTGAACTCCCACCAGATCTACAACCATTTTGGGATTGGAATGTGGTCTTTAGCTTGTGGGTCAGAATGCTATTAACTGGCAGTAGCTCCCCGCCTGCCCTCATCCTCAAGGAGCCATCCCCCAACTGGCCACACCCAAGAGGAAGACAGAGAGCCAGGTGGTCCGACCAGTTGGGGGACGATGTACACAACCTGGGACTCAACACCAGATCAGCCTGGGACCTGGCCCAGAATAAGAGTGTGGAGATCCATATGTTGAAGCGCTATGCTCCAAGGAGCGAGCGAAGATGAGAGTGAGTGAGTGAGTGAGTGAGTGATTGAGTGAGTGGGGGAGGGTCAGAATGAATATAGTCATACTAAAATGATCAAAGGGAAGTCAGATCATGAAGACCTGCAGCACTGATAGATTATTATTGTATAGATTATGACTCACCTGTAAATCTGTACCCATCACTGCGTGGAGAGAGAGAGTTTGGTCCTGAGCTCACTCTGTAGTCACAGCTCACCTCCTTACGCCTCACTGACTGTAGACGTCGGATCAGATCACTCTCAGCCACAAAGAATTGACAGAACCAGCCTTTGGAATCTGTGTGTTTCTTCTTCCTGATGGGTGCTCTTATAAAATACTGACTCTGCTCTCCAACATACAGGTTACAGGGGGTGTCATTACTGACAGATCCAGGAATTAAACAGGTGATGATGAGGTTCTCTTTCAGACTGACTGTAATATTTGGTTTCTGACCTGTTGGGAGAGGACAAAGACTTAATGAAGTAAAAGGCACACCATTCTGCATATAAAAATATACTGTAGAGCCTACAGTCTTTCACAATGCAAGTTCAAATCATGATAGTCATAAACATAACATGGATTTATGATTTGTATAACTATTTTGAAGAAACTTGGACTGTGATTTAAAAACATTCATTAAAGCTAATTGATTTTGTTCTAAATTAGTTAGCAATAAATTAAGCAATTCCCCAATGTGCACAGACGTCAGTTCCACATGATTTACATTTGATTGAGTTGTCAACTAATGTGAATTCAAAGTGAATTCAAAATAATTTCAGCCATGTCATTGGATTTAGGTTAAAGTTGGGTGAAAGAAAGACAAGCATTCCCAAAATTCCTTTATGTCGATGGCTTTTGGCAAATCCAATACATTTTCCACGTTGATTTAATGTCATCAGAAGGAAAAACATTGTAATTCTTTGTTGAAAAGACGTGAAAACAACGTAGATTCAACCGGTTTTTGCCCATACTAATAAAACTGCACTTAAAAAATGTACATATAATACATATTTCTGTATTTTTTATGTAAGTATCTTACCTGTGATAATGTATTCATCACTGCGGGGAGAGAGAGAGTGTAACCCTGTGTTCACTCTATAGTCACATCTCACATCTCTCTTCAACTGCAGATGCCTGAACAGATCATTCTTAGTAACACTGAAGGTACAGAATAGTTTGGATGATGCTGCGTTAAATCTCCTGACCCAAGCCTCTTTGTAAGCCTGAGGCTGGTCTCCAGTGTACAGGTTACAGCTACGACCATCACTGACAGACTCAGGAAGAACACAGGCAATAGTGATGTCATGAGAAGATTCGTCATTGACACTAATGTCTGGTTTCTGTAGTTCACCTGTGAGGAGAACACATCAATAACGGTCTATACCGTAGGTTAATGAGAATACACACCTCTTTCTGTATTAGATAACTAAAAGAGTAAGAAATACATTGTTTGCATATGTTAGCATGACATTATATATTCCAATCCTATTACAGTGAGCCAGTCAGATCAGTGTATTCATAATAATAATCTCTTACCAAGAATAGTGATAGGCGCAGGGTCAGTGTGCGTCGATGGATAGCGAGTCTCTACTGTGTAAAAACATCTCAGTTTGACCTCAGCAGATGAACTTTGACCTGCCCATGAGAGTAGCTCAGTCCCCGTGAGTGACCTCGTACAGGGTGAGGGTTTAGGATGTCTCCCCTCTGTGTAGAAGTAACACTGAGACACAGAGACATATGGAGGAGCCTCACAGCTCAGCTGAACTGAGTCTCTCTCTCTGATGACTGTAGAACTCACTGTCAGTCTGGGCTGAGGGAGGTCTGTAACATCAGAATAAGGAAGTAAACCACTTTCAACAGCTTGCTAAAATACAGTACCAGTCAAAGGTTTGGACACACCTACTCATTCCATGGTTTTTCTTTATTTTTACAATTTTCTACATTGTAGAATAATAGTGAAGACATCAAAACTATGAAATAACACACATTGAATCATGTAGTAACCAAAAAACTGTTAAACAAATCAAAATATATTTTATATTTGAGATTCTTCAAAGTAGCCACCTGGAATGCATTTCAATTAACAGTGTGCATTCTTAAAGGTTAATTTGTGGAATTTCTAGCCTTCTTAATACGTTTGAGCCAATCAGTTGTGTTGTGACAAGGTAGGGGTGGTATACAGAAGATAGCCCTATTTGGGAAAAGACCAAGTCCATATTATGGCAAGAACAGCTCAAATCAGAAAAGAGAAACGACAGTCCATCATTACTTTAAGACATGAAGGTCAGTCAATACGGAACATTTCAAGAACTTTTTAAGTTTCTTCAAGTGCAGTCGCAAAAACCATCAAGCGCTATGATGAAACTGGCTCTCATGAGGACCGCCACAGGAAAGCAAAACCCAGAGTTACCTCTGCTGCAGAGGATAAGTTCATAAGAGTTAACTGCACCTCAGATTGCAGCCCAAATAAATTATTCAAAGAGTTCAAGTAACAGACACATCTCAACATCAACTGTTCAGAGGAGACTATGTGAATCAGGCCTTCATTGGTTGAATTGCTGCAAAGAAACCACTTCTAAAGGACACCAATAAGAAGAAGAGACTTGCTTGGGCCAAGAAACACGAGCAATGGACATTGGACTGGTGGAAATCTGTTCTTTGGTCTAATGAGTCCAAATTTGAGATTTTTGGTTCCAACCGACGTGTCTTTGTAAGACACAGAGTAGGTGAACGGATGATCTCTGCATGTTTGGTTCCCACCGTGAAGCATGGAGGAGGTGTGATGGTGTGGGGGTGCTTTGCTGGTGACACTGTTGGTGATTTCTTTAGAATTCAAGGCACACTTAACCAGCATGGCTACCACAGCATTCTGCAGCGATACGCCATCCCATCTGGTTTGAGCTTAGCGGGACTATCACTTGTTTTTCAACAGGACAATGACCCAAAACACACCTCCAGGCTCTGTAAGGGCTATTTGACCAAGGAGAATGATGGAGTGCTGCATCAGATGACCTGGCCTCCACAATCACCCGACCTCAACCCAATTGAGATGGTTTGTGATGAGTTGGACCGCAAGAGTGAAGGAAAAGCAGCCAACAAGTGCTCAGCATATGTGGGAACTCCTTCAAGACTGTTGGAAAAGCACTCCAGTTGACTACCTCATGAAGCTGGTTGAGAGAATGCCAAGAGTGTGCAATGCTGTCATCAAGGCAAAGGGTGGCTACTTTGACGAATCTCAAATATAAAATATATTTTGATTTGTTCAACACTTTTTTGGTTACTACATGATTCCATATGTGTTATTTCATTGTTTTGATGTTTTCCCTATTATTCTAATGTAGAAAATAGTAAAAATAAAGAAAAACCCTTGAATGAGTAGGTGTGTCCAAACTTTTGACTGGTACTGTACATTGCATGAAATAATCCCAAAAATCTAAAAGTGCATAACTTCATCTCTTATTGCTTCAGTCAGTATTTAAAATGTATGTTATATAAATAATATAAATGAATCCGGTGTGCTAATCTTGACCAGAATAGAAAAACACTGGGGTATAATAATACATAAACTACCCCGCTTACCCAGGAGAGTGACTGAGACAGTGTCACTGTAAGGAGAATAGATAGACATCTCTACAGCATAGTAGATACATCTCACGTTGACCTCAGTGGTTGGACCACGACCTGCCAATTCAAGCAGCTTGGTCCCTGTGATTGACTGCTGACAGGATGTAGTATGTTGGAGACTACGTCTTTCCTCTATGTAGAAGTAACACTGAGACACAGAGGTAGATTGAGAAGTGTGACATCTCAGCTGAACTGAGTCTGTATCCCTGATGACTTTAGGACTCACTGTCAGCTGAGGAAGGACTGTGAGTTCAGAGGAAAATAGTATGTCAATATAATATTTAACAGATTACTATTACATAAAATCATCATGTTCAACAGACCTGAGCATTTCAAGAACATGATTCCTCACTTCAAATTACTTCTCGATTGTAAAAAGACAGTAAATCATTTCATGAAACATAAGTCTTTGAAATCAGAATAATATTGTTGCAGGTTAGTGTAATGTTGCAGATTGTATCTCATAATATGGTACGATTTTAAAGGAGGGTCATGTTTACAATTATGTAAACAACCTGCTTACCTTGGACAGTGACTGAGACAGGGTCACTGTGAGAGGATGGGGAAGAACTCCCTGCAGCGTAGTAGTAACATCTCACTTTGACCACAGCAGGTGAACGCTGATCTGACCACGAGAGGAGCTCAGTCCCTGTGAGTGTCTGCCGACAGGATGGTTTAGAGTCTCCATTCTCAGTGAAGAGATAACACTGAGACACAGAGACGGATGGACTCTCACAGCTCAGCTGAACTGAGTCTCTCTCTCTTATGACTGCAAGACTCACTGTCAACCTGGGAAGAGGAGGGCCTGTAAGAACAGAAAAGAGAAGAATGTCACATTTTTTGACTGGTTTTGAGAAATGTACTGACAACCATTCAATTAGATTTAAATATGTATGTCTATTATAAAATCAAGTAAATCTATCAACATTTAACACTTATCTTCATGTTTATTGAGACTAAAGAATTTTGATAATAAGGTCCATTGCTTCATATAATGATAGTATGTGAAATATATAATCTATTGTTTTAAGTAATAGCGTTTTGAGACTGCTCTTCTCTGTGTCACGGAGGCTCTCTGCACTGCTCTTATCCTTCTCGACCTATCTGCTGCCTTTGATACTGTGAACCATCAGATCCTCCTCTCCACCCTCTCCGAATTGGGCATCTCCGGCGCTGCTCACTCTTGGATTGTGTCCTACCTGACAGGTCGCTCCTACCAGGTGGCGTGGCGAGAATCTGTCTCCGCACCACTTAATCTCACCACTGGTGTCCCCCAGGGCTCAGTTCTAGGCCCTCTCCTATTCTCTCTATACACCAAGTCACTTGGCTCTGTCATATCCTCACATGGTCTCTCCTATCATTGCTACGCAGATGACACACAATTCATTTTCTCCTTTCCCCCTTCTGATAACCAGGTGGCGAATCGCATCTCTACATGTCTGGCAAACATATCAGTGTGGATGTCGGATCACCACCTCAAGCTGAACCTCGGCAAGACGGAACTGCTATTCCTCCCGGGGAAGGACTGCCCGCTCCATGATCTCACCATCACGGTTGACAACTCCATTGTGTCCTCCTCCCAGAGTGCAAAGAACCTTGGCGTGACCCTGGACAACACCCTGTCGTTCTCCGCTAACATCAAAGCGGTGACCCGATCCTGCAGGTTCATGCTCTACAACATTCGCAGAGTACGACCCTACCTCACACAGAAAGCGGCACAGGTCCTAATCCAGGCACTTGTCATCTCCCGTCTGGATTACTGCAACTCGCTGTTGGCTGGGCTCCCTGCCTGTGCCATTAAACCCCTACAACTTATCCAGAACGCTGCAGCCCATCTGGTGTTCAACCTTCCCAAGTTCTCTCATGTCACCCCGCTCCTCCGCACACTCCACTGGCTTCCAGTTGAGGCTTGCATCTATTACAAGACCATGGTGCTTGCCTACGGAGCTGTGAGGGGAACGGCACCTCCGTACCTTCAGGCTCTGATCAGACCCTACACCCAAACGAGGGCACTACGTTCATCCACCTCTGGCCTGCTAGCCCCACTACCTCTACGGAAGCACAGTTCCCGCTCAGCCCAGTCAAAGCTATTCGCTGCTCTGGCACCCCAATGGTGGAACAAGCTCCCCCACGACGCCAGGACAGCGGAGTCACTGACCACCTTCCGGAGACACTTGAAACCCTACCTCTTTAAGGAATACCTGGAACAGTATAAAAGTAATCCTTCTACCCCTCCCTCCCCCCACCCACCCATACTTTATTTATTTTTTAAGTGGTTGTCCCACTGGCTATCATAAGTTGAATGCACCAATTTGTAAGTCGCTCTGGATAAGAGCATCTGCTAAATGATGTAAATGTTAATAACAAATATTTCAGACTGGGCTGAGGAAGGTCTGAGAGAACAGAGGAACTGAGCATTTTGTGACTGGTTTGGGAACTGTACTGTCAGCCGTTGAACATAAAATAATCACATCTTGTTTTTTCAGACCCAAGGTTTTGAGAATAATTCCCAGCGATAGTATGGGAAATAAAGGGGATATAATATATTGATTCATGCAATGGCTCTTCACAAAAGACAATATGACAATGTATTCCTAGAGGACCAATTGAGCAGTACAGTGTTTGCAGTGTTTACAGCTATAGAATGAATAAATTACCCTGAATTTGGACAGAAGTAGGTTCATTGTATACGGATTTAAACTGCCAACCTTCAGCACTGTATTGTATTAATTATTTATCTTTTGAATTAATCATGTCATATGGATACGGTATCAGCTAATGTTATGTTTGAATAATAAGAATTGACAGCAGGATTCATTTTTTTTTTAGTGGGTAACTAAAAACTCATAATAATGTTACTGACCTTGGGCTTTGATGGATTGGAAGGTATCTAGAAATTACAAAATAGTTTATCATCATCTGCCATTAATGTAAACAAATGTAAAACGTGAGACACCTGAACACTTCACACAAGTTGGTAACGTAGCATAACCTACTGTAATGCATTAATGGGAATCAAGCAACGGTCATTCTTATCTGAACAAAATGTAAAATACTGACAGAGAAAAATAAATAAGATTATTAATTAATTAATGGAATAAGATACAAGACACTAATCATGAAGTAAAGTAAAGTAAAATACTAAAAATTAAGACTAAAAGAGGGGAGAGAAGAAGAGGAATAACCTGTAGCACAGACAGATGATGGAATTTGGAATGGAGGAATAACTCACCGAAAAGGAGGATGACCAAAAACAGATGACCAGCCATATCAGAGATTAACAATGCCATTTGGCAGACAGCTACAGACTGTTACTATGACTTCACAGTATGGTGTGTGACTGAGTCAGATGATTGTTTAAATAGAGAAGTAGATGTGGAGCTTGTTCACAGCAAAACCACAGAGAGCAGAAATGTAAACCACAGTCTCATAAAGCAAGTGTGAGCTAATGTTGCAAAGGTAAGGGTATCTGAACAATCAGAATAATTTATCGGTCATACACTCCCCTCCATATGCATTTGGACAGTGAAGCCCCTAAAAAACATTTGTCTCTAAAGTCCAGTATTTTAGATTTGAGATAGAATGTTTCATATAAGGCGACAGTACAGAATTTCCGCTTTTAATTGAGGATATTTTAATAAAGTATTTATACCCCTTGACTTATTACACATTTTCTTACAGCCTGAATTCAAAATGTATCAAATAAAATACATGTCCACCCATCTAGACACTTTAGTCATTTTTGCTAATTTATTGAAAATTAAATACAGAAATCTCTCATTTAGATAAGTATTTACACCCCTGAGTCAATACTTTGTAGAAGCACTTTTGACAGTGATTACAGCTGTCAGTCTTACTGGGTCTCTAAGACCTTTTCACACCTGGAATGTGCAACATTTACCCATTATTATTTTCAAATTTCTTCAAGCTCTGTCAAATTGGTTGTTGATCATTGCTAGACAACCATTTTCAGGTCTAGCCATAGATTTTCAAGTAGATTTAAGTCAAAACTGTAACTCGGCCACTCAGGAAAATTCACTGTCTTCTTGGTAAGCAACTCCAGTGTATATTTGGCCTTGTGTTTTAGGTTATTGTCCTGCTGAAAGGTGAATTCATCTTCCAGTGTCTGGTGGAAAGCATCCTCAACCAAGTTTTCCTCTAGGTCTTTGACTGTGCTTAGCTCCATTCGGTTTATTTTCTATCCTGAAAAACTCCCCAGTCCTTAATGATTACAATCATACCCATAACATGATGCAGCCACCACTGTGCTTGAAAATATGGAGAATGGTACTCAGTAATGTGTTGTATTGGATTTGCCCCAAACATAACATTTTGTATTCAGGACAAAAAGTGAATTGCTTTGCCAAATGTTTTACAGTATTACTTTAGTACCTTGTTGCAAACAGGTCCAGGCTTCCTTCTTTTCACTCTGTCATTTAGGTTAGTATTGTGGATTGACTACAATGTTGTTGATCCATCCACAGTTTTCTCCTATCACAGCCATTAAACTCTATAACTGTTTTAAATTCACCATTGGCCTCATGGTGAAATCTCTGAGCGGGTTTCTTCCTCTCCGGCAACTAAGTTAGGAAGGACACCTGTATCTTTGTAGTGACTGGGTGTATTGATACAACATCCAAAGTGTAATTAATAACTTAACCATGCTCAAAGGGATATTCAATGTCTACTTTTCTTCTTCTTTTTTTCCCCATCTACAAATAAGTGCCCTTCTTTGCGAGGCATTAGACAACCTCCCTGGTCTTTGTGGTTGAATCTGTGTTTGAATTTCACTGCTCGACTGACCGACCTTATAGATAATTGTATGTGTGGGGTACAGAGATGAGGTAGTCATTAAAAAATAATGTGAAACACTATTATTGCACACAGAGTGAGTCCATGCAACTTATTATGTGACTTGTTCTGCAAGTTTTTACTCCTGGACTTAATTAGGCTTTCCATAACAAATGTGTTGAATACTTAATGACTCTTTGTATTTTATTTTTTAATTTATACATAATTCCACTTTGACATTATGGGGTATTGTGTGTAGGCTAGTGACAAAAATCTAAATTTAATCAATTTTAAATTCAGGCTGTAACACAACAAAATGTGGAAAAAGTCAAGGGGTGTGAATACTTTCTGAAGGCACTGTATGTTTTACCATTTAGAAATAAAAACACTTTATGTATATAGTCCCCCCATTTGAAGAAGTCATAAGTATTTGGACAAATTCCTTTATAGTGTATTAAAGTAGCCAAACATTTAGTATTTTGTTCCCACATTCCTTTCACACAATAAATACATCAAGCTTGTGACTCAACAAACTTTTTGGATGCATTTGCGGGTTGTTTTGGTTGTGTTTTGGATTGTGTTTTGCCCAATAGGAAATTAATTGTATCCAACCGTTATGGAAGGAGGTATCACACAGGTGACATAATAGACATAAATACAGTAGATTTAGCATTTATTAGGGGGAAGAAATAAGAAAGATGCTCAAAGGGGAGTTTGCCCCGGACCCCTCCAATATTAACACAGTAACAGATATTATGGATAGACATGTAACAGAAGCCAGTTGTCCACGTATAATACAGTCAATATATTACCTGCTAAGCGACTTATTTACAATAACTGGATGTGTGATAAACAAAGGATATCATGTGAAAAAAAGGTATTTATGTGAGATGTGTGAGACATATCTACAGAAAGCCAGTGGTGTAGTTTCAGTGTGTCTGCAGACTGTAAAACCCATCCGGCTGGGCTGAGGTTGCTGGTCTGTCGGGGATTGAGTTGTATACATGGTACGTATCAGACTAGAGAAAATAAACAGATTTACTTTAGGGCTTCGAATCTACAGTACTGTAAATGTAATTCATAAGGGGTATTTTATGAGGATGTAACGCCAGTCTTAAATTTAAAGTCATAAAACACAGTGAGAGAGAGAGAGCGAGAGAGAGATACTTTAATCCTCTACTTAGTCTGTCTGTGAAAACAATACTATATATAATAATAATAATAATAATAATAATAATAATAATAATAATAATATAACAATATAATATAATACAATGAATAGGACAATCGATATAACTGTACTCTATGCAATTATTTGTGCTGTACTTACATCTTCATTTGCAAATGGCTGTGTATCCACATCAATGGGACCTGCACATCACAGAGAGAGACAATTCCATGAGTAAGAGGTTGTGTATGTACATTACCAGTCAAAGGTTTTAGAACACCTACTCATTAAAGGGTTTTTCTTTATTTGTACTATTTCCTACATTGTAGAACAATAGTGAAGACATCAAAACTATGAAATAACACCTGGAATCATGTAGTAACCAAAAAAGTGTTAAACAAATATATTTTATATTTGAGATTCTTCAAATAGCCACCCTTTGCCTTGAAGACAGCTTTGCACACTCGTTGAATTCTCTCAACCAGCTTCACCTGGAATGCTTTTCCAACAGTCTAGAAAGAGTTCCCACATATGCTGAGCACTTGTTGGCTGCTTTTCCTTCACTCTGCCGTCCGACTCATCCCAAACCATCTCAATTTGGTTGAGGTCGGGGGATGGTGGAGGCCAGGTCATCTGATGCAGCACTCCATCACTCTCCTTCTTGGTAAAATAGCCCTTACACAGCCTGGAGGTGTGTTGGGTCATTGTCCTGTGGAAAAACGAATGATAGTCCCACTAAGCCAAAACCAGATGGGATGGTGTATCGCTGCAGAATGCTGAGGTAGCCATGCTGGTTAAGTGTGCCTTGAATTCTAAATAAATCACAGACAGTGTCACCAGCAAAGCACCCCCACACCATAACACCTCCTCATCCAAGCTTTATGGTGGGAAATACACATGCGGAGATCATCCATTCACCCACACCGCGTCTCAAAAAGACACAGCGGTTGGAACCAAATTTAGACTCCAGACCAAAGGACAAACTTCCACCGGTCCAACGTCCATTGCTCGTGTTTCTTGGCCCAAGAAAGTCTCTTCTTATTGGTGTCCTTTAGTAGTGGTTTCTTTGCAGCAAGTGTACCATGAAGGCCTGATTCACACAGTCTCCTCTGAACAGTTGATGTTGAGATGTGTCTGTCACTTGAACTCTGTGAAGCATTTATTTGGGCTGCAATTTCTGAGAGTGATAACGCTAATGAACTTATCCCCTGCAGCAGAAGTAACTCTGGGTCTTCCTTTCCTGTGGCGGTCCTCATTAGAGCCCGTTTCATCATAGCGCTTAATGGTTTGTGCGACTGCACTTGAAGAAACTTTCAAAGTTATTGAAATGTTCCGTATTGACTAACCTTCATGTCTTAAAGTAATGATGGACTGTCGTTTCTCTTTGCTTATTTGAGCTGTTCTTGCCATTATATGGACTTGGTCTTTTACCAAATAGGGCTATCTTCTGTATACCCCCTACCTTGTCACAACACAACTGATTGGCTCAAACGCATTAAGAAGGAAAGACATTCCACAAATTAACTTTTAAGAAGGCACACCTGTTGATTGAATTGCATTCCAGGTGACTACCTCATGAAGCTGGTTGAGAGAATGCCAAGAGTGTGCAAAACTGTCATCAAGGCAAAGGGTGGCTATTTGAATATAAAATATATTTTGATTTGTTTAACAGTTTTATGGTTACTACATGATTCCATATGTGTTATTTCATAGTTTTGATGTCTTCACTATTATTCTACAATGTAGAAAATTGTAAAATTTAAGAAAAACCCTTTAATGAGTACAGTGAGGGAAAAATGTATTTGATCCCCTGCTGATTTTGTACGTTTGCCCACTGACAAAGAAATGATCAGTCTATAATTTTAATGGTAGGTTTATTTGAACAGTGAGAGACAGAATAACAACAAAAAAATTCAGAAAAACGCATGTCAAAAATGTTATAAATTGATTTGTATTTTAATTAGGGAAATAAGTATTTGACCCCTCTGCAAAACATGACTTAGTACTTGGTGACAAAACCCTTGTTGGCAATCACAGAGGTCAGACGTTTCTTGTAGTTGGCCACCAGGTTTGCACACATCTCAGGAGGGATTTTGTCCCACTCCTCTTTGCAGATCTTCTCCAAGTCATTAAGGTTTCGAGGATGACATTTGGCAACTCGCACCTTCAGCTCCCTCCACAGATTTCCTATGGGATTAAGGTCTGGAGACTGGCTAGGCCACTCCAGGACCTTAATGTGCTTCTTCTTGAGCCACTCCTTTGTTGCTTTGGCCGTGTGTTTTGGGTCATTGTCATGCTGGAATACCCATCCACGACCCATTTTCGTCCATCGTCCCTTTGATGCAGAAAAACACCCTCAAAGCATAATGTTTCCACCTCCATGTTTGACGGTGGGGATGGTGTTCTTGGGGTCATAGGCAGCATTCCTCCTCCTCCAAACACGGCGAGTTGAGATGATGCCAAAGAGCTCCATTTTGGTCTCATCTGACCACAACACTTTCACCCAGTTCTCCTCTGAATCATTCAGATGTTCATTGGCAAACTTAAGACGGGCATGTATATGTGCTTTCTTGGGCAGGGGGACCTTGCGGGCGCTGCAGGATTTCAGTCCTTCACGGCGTAGTGTGTTACCAATTGTTTTCTTGGTGACTATGGTCCCAGCTGCCTTGAGATCATTGACAAGATCCTCCCGTGTAGTTCTGGGCTGATTCCTCACCGTTCTCATGATCATTGCAACTCCACGAGGTGAGATCTTGCATGGAGCCCCAGGCCGAGGGAGATTGACAGGTCTTTTGTGTTTCTTCCATTTGCGAATAATCGCACCAACTGTTGTCACCTTCTCACCAAGCTGCTTGGCGATGGTCTTGTAGCCCATTCCAGCCTTGTGTAGGTCTACAATCTTGTCCCTGACATCCTTGGAGAGCTCTTTGGTCTTGGCCATGGTGGAGAGTTTGGAATCTGATTAATTGATTGCTTCTGTGGACAGGTGTCTTTTATACAGGTAACAAGCTGAGATTAGGAGCACTCCCTTTAAGAGTGTGCTCCTAATCCCAGCTCGTTACCTGTATAAAAGACACCTGGGAGCCAGAAATCTTTCTGATTGAGAGGGGGTCAAATACTTATTTCCCTCATTAAAATGCAAATCAATTTATAACATTTTTTACATGCGTTTTTCTGGATTTTTTTGTTGTTATTCTGTCTCTCACTGTTCAAATAAACCTACCATTAAATCTATAGACTGATCATGTCTTTGTCAGTGGGCAAACGTACAAAATCAGCAGGGGATCAAATACTTCTTTCCCTCACTGTAGGTGTTCTAAAACTTTTGACCGGTAGTGTATGTATGAGTGTGTGTATATTGCAAGTGCACCTTGCATGTGTGTTACTTAGTCGGCTTTGCCCTTTTGCGTTAGTAACAGCAAAACAGAAGAAGTGCAAGTAACAGGGCTTGATGTCATTTCCCACTTCTCCTCATGGTTCAAACCACCCTGCAGATCTACAGCTCTATTCTCACGCTCCACAGATGCTCTGACACATTCATTTCTGTTTTAAGTGCCATATACAGTGGGGGAAAAAAGTATTTAGTCAGCCACCAATTATGCAAGTTCTCCCACTTAAAAAGATGAGAGAGGCCTGTAATTTTCATCATAGGTACACGTCAACTATGACAGACAAATTGAGAAAAAAAATCCAGAAAATCACATTGTAGGATTTTTTATGAATTTATTTGCAAATTATGGTGGAAAATAAGTATTTGGTCACCTACAAACAAGCAAGATTTCTGGCTCTCACAGACCTGTAACTTCTTCATTAAGAGGCTCCTCTGTCCTCCACTCGTTACCTGTATTAATGGCACCTGTTTGAACTTGTTATCAGTATAAAAGACACCTGTCCACAACCTCAAACAGTCAAACTCCAAACTCCACTATGGCCAAGACCAAAGAGCTGTCAAAGGACACCAGAAACAAAATTGTAGACCTGCACCAGGCTGGGAAGACTGAATCTGCAATAGGTAAGCAGCTTGGTTTGAAGAAATCAACTGTGGGAGCAATTATTAGGAAATGGAAGACATACAAGACCACTGATAATCTCCCTCGATCTGGGGCTCCACGCAAGATCTCACCCCGTGGGGTCAAAATGATCGCAAGAACGGTGAGCAAAAATCCCAGAACCACACGGGGGGACCTAGTGAATGACCTGCAGAGAGCTGGGACCAAAGTAACAAAGCCTACCATCAGTAACACACTACGCAGCCAGGGACTCAAATCCTGCAGTGCCAGACGTGTCCCCCTGCTTAAGCCAGTACATGTCCAGGCCCGTCTGAAGTTTGCTAGAGTGCACTTGGATGATCCAGAAGAGGATTGGGAGAATGTCATATGGTCAGTTGAAACCAAAATATAACTTTTTGGTAAAAACTCAACTCGTCGTGTTTGGAGGACAAAGAATGCTGAGTTGCATCCAAAGAACACCATACCTACTGTGAAGCATGGGGGTGGAAACATCATGCTTTGGGGCTGTTTTTCTGCAAAGGGACCAGGACGACTGATCCGTGTAAAGGAAAGAATGAATGGGGCCATGTATCGTGAGATTTTGAGTGAAAACCTCCTTCCATCAGCAAGGGCATTGAAGATGAAACGTGGCTGGGTCTTTCAGCATGACAATGATCCCAAACACACCGCCCGGGCAACGAAGGAGTGGCTTCGTAAGAAGCATTTCAAGGTCCTGGAGTGGCCTAGCCAGTCTCCAGATCTCAACCCCATAGAAAATCTTTGGAGGGAGTTGAAAGTCCGTGTTGCCCAGCGACAGCCCCAAAACATCACTGCTCTAGAGGAGATCTGCATGGAGGAATGGGCCAAAATACCAGCAACAGTGTGTGAAAACCTTGTGAAGACTTACAGAAAACGTTTGACCTGTGTCATTGCCAACAAAGGGTATATAACAAAGTATTGAGAAACGTTTGTTATTGACCAAATACTTATTTTCCACCATAATTTGCAAATAAATTCATTAAAAATCCTACAATGTGATTTTCTGAAAAAAAAATTCTCATTTTGTCTGTCATAGTTGACGTGTACCTATGATAAAAATTACAGGCCTCTCTCATCTTTTTAAGTGGGAGAACTTGCACAATTGGTGGCTGACTAAATACTTTTTTTGCCCCACTGTATGCTTGCTGATATGGTTAGGCCCAAAGTTTAAAATGTACAGTAGCTGTGTACTTGCAGATGGTCCTGAGTTCTGAGGGACAAACCTGAGGGCATGAATGTGGACTGTACAGAAGTGATCTGGCAGTATATTCCATTATCTCCTGAATTCACCTGTAGTAGAGAGAGAGGGAGAAAAAGAGAGAGAAAAGAGAGAGAGAGACTTTTTATGCTCCAGTCTAACAAACTCTGTCTATTCTACTCTCTATCTCGTGACATGAACTGCACCCTCCTTTGTATCACAGGAAGCGTTTGTGGGTTTTGTCATTTTGAGGTCAACCCATATCCAATGCAAGATGTAGGTTATTTTATCAAAAATAGTTTATACGGCTGAACTCTGTACCTACTTAGGAACAAATTTACAAGGTTTACATTAATTAATGTATTAGGAAATTATTTCAGGTGAAAAACATCTTATTTGGTAATAAATATAAATGACATATAAATCTGTAAATAAATATAGCTGTTGGTTCGATACTTTGAGCATTCATATGTTGAAGCACTACTAATGTAACATTAAGGTCTTGATCCTCAGATCAGACAGTCAGAGGGCAGAGGAGGCTGGTGGGAGGAGTTATAGGAGGACGGGCTCATTGTAATGGCTGCAATGGAATGGAGTCAAACACATGGGATCCATGTATTTGTTTTGTTTGACTCCGATCCATTGATTCCATTCCAGCCATTACAATGAGCCCGTCCTCCCATAAATCCTCCCACCAGTCTCCTCTGTCAGGGGGGTATATGTGCATAGATACCACTGTAATGTCTAGAATACTCACCATGCCTCCACTGCTCACCACTCCCATAGACACCAAATCATCTACAACAGAAACACAATGAAAATTGAATGAGTGTTTGTACATGTATGTGTGTAGTTGTGTTAGTAGTGTGTGCAGTGTTTGATGTATTCTGTTTGGAACATACATTGGCTGTGATCATCCTGTCTGGCTGTAGGTCTATACAAAATACAAGTATAAGAAGGTTGTGGTAAGAACATCTCATCATGGACAATACAGAACTAAAGGTTGATAGAAAGGTTGATAGAATCTGCATCATACAATATCCCAAACAAGGGGAATTCCTACCTCTGAGAATTGTTTTTCTCTGAAAAACAAATGATGCTAAATTAATTATATTGATTATAGCCTACCCCATACAATATGATCCAAAGGAGTTGATAAATTAAATAATGCCAAAGGTACTTATATTAATGTCAGCAATGTAAATTTGCAAATGAATGTCCCGTGTAGCTCAGTTGGTAGAGCATGGCGTTTGCAACGCCAGGGTTGTGGGTTCGATTCCCACTAATCTATTTGTTTTACTTATAGTTGATAACTAGATAAAGATGACTAAGAGACCTGATGTAGGATTCAATGCCGTGCTGGGGGTCAAAGGGGAGGTCAAACCTGGTGAGAAGAGATTACTCATATTACACAAAAACAAATGTAAATTCATTTAATATCTGAGGTCATTCAATAAGCAGAAAAGAGAAGTACACTACACTTTACCTACAAACAGATAGACTAAAAGTACACAAATCTGGACTGAAATTACAAGCAGCTATGAATAGGTCTATTAGTAAACTGGTTAGAGCTTTAGTGAATTAATGTGAACAGAAATATTGTAATTGCAAACTAGGTTAAACTTAGTGGGCCTACTTACAGGTAGTTGGTCTCAATGTGGTGTCTGGGGTCAAAGTGGAAGTAACAGTTGAAACTAGTGAGAAGCAATATGATTACACAAGAATATGGTTTTACATTAAAATGTTGGTCACTTAATTTTACAGGCCCGTAATCTAAACCCTTGACTGTACTATTGGTATTTGCAGAGATGGTCATTTAGAGGACCAACACACCTTCTGTAGGACTCACTGTTGTGGTGGGCGGCAAAGTAGATCTAGGACCTGGAGTCAAACCCACTGAGAAGGCATATTAATGAAGTTATCATTTTATTCATGATCATTATGTTGTTGTTGGCCTTTTGAAATATCTTTATGACTTGTTTTTTCAAAGTGGGCAAAGTAGGACTATAAAAATCACTACGGACAGATTGCTTCTATTCCAGGTAGATTATATTTCTCCTCATTATAGAGATGATAAGACCAATTCATAAAGTGATCAAGTCTTTCAGGACAGATAAGGTGTTGATTGTTGTTGTCAGCTTCCTAGAATAAGATCACCATGTTATCTAACAGCAGAAGCATAACAGTGCATAAATACGATCTAAACACTCGACTAGATGAACACAGAAATTATATTACTTGTGCTGATGATCCCAGGCATTGGTGTTGAGGCTGGTGTCCTATCTATAGAACTGCTTAATTATCTAACAGAACAGCTTAATTTACACATTTACACAACTATTCTTATTGCTGAAACCTGCTATGTTTTAAAATAACAGCAGTGCCGCTATAAAATAACAAATGTGTAGCCTACCTGCTATAGAAGGTGTCTGAATAGTTTGTCATGCCTATTTATGAGTGCCATTTAATCATGTGTGCTGTGTGTTTACAATGATTGCCTTTCACTTAATTCCTTACATTCTCCCGTGTGAAATCAAATGGAATCGCATGGACTATTTTGCCTGCTTGTATGGTGTCCTGTGATTCCACAGATTAGCATGGACTAAAGTGACATTGAGACAGCTGTTGCCAATTCTCTATCAACTCCTCCCTCCCCAAACCAATTACTAAACACACCCCAGAACTAGAGTTAAAAGGAACTGGACCAGTGACCTCTCGACCGACTCACTGCTCCTCTCCGCTGGTCCCCTGCTGTGGGAAAGACACAAATCACAACGCTCTCTATAGCACTACTAAAGGAAAGTGCTTGTTTCAAATGTGTGACTGTGACCCCAATTGTTGGCTCTAATTATATGTTTTGTGTCTCCCACGACTACAGACACTGGGGACACGCCCGACGCTGCTGTGATAGGCTAAACCCAACTCTACCACGCAGCTGGGCTGGTGCGGAGCGAGGGACAGTAGGTGACCTGCCGTTGAACACCAGACCAGCCATCGACTACCAGACCAGCCATCGACTACCAGACCAGCCATCGACTACCAGACCAGCCATCGACTACCAGACCAGCCATCGACTACCAGACCAGCCATCGACTACCAGACCAGCCATCGACTACCAGACCAGCCATCGACTACCAGACCAGCCATCGACTATCAGACCAGCCATCGACTACCAAACCAGCCATAGACTACCAGACCAGCCATCGACTACCAGACCAGCCATCGACTACCAGACCAGCCATCGACTACCAAACCAGCCATCGACTACCAGACCAGCCATCGACTACCAGAGCAGCCATCGACTACCAGACCAGCCATCGACTACCAGACCAGCCATCGACTATCAGACCAGCCATCGACTACCAAACCAGCCATCAACTACCAGACCAGCCATCGACTACCAGACCAGCCATCGACTACCAGACCAGCCATCGACTACCAGACCAGCCATCGACTACCAGACCAGCCATCGACTACCAAACCAGCCATCAACTACCAGACCAGCCATCGACTACCAGACTAGCCATCGACTACCAGACCAGCCATCGACTACCAGACCAGCCATCGACTACCAGACCAGCCATCGACTTACGATCCCTGCTCGGGAGGAAGAGACGAACCCTGCTCAGAAAGACCCGAATGAACATTGGCCACCGATCGGGAATGAACTGCTGTGTTAGTTTGGGAGACACAGAGATGGAGGAGTCTCTTTCTCTGATTACTGTAAAACTGACTGTCAGCCTGGGAGGAGGTGGGTCTGTGAGATCAGAAGAATAGAGTGTGCTTCTCTGATTGTTGCATTTAAAAACTTTACAGGTAATCCATACATACTAACAGTATGTAAAATCTATAAATACTGTCGAACTCTTCATTTTCAACTACATCAGTATCTATGTTTGCATTGTACAGTAAAACCTACAGTAAGACCTATTAAGTGAAATGAAGACATTGGTGAAATATGACATAAGATCTAATTTTCTGAACAAGCATAATGAGCATACAGTATAACAGTGAAGTGTATAATTTTACAAACCACCTACTTACCCTGAACAGTGACTGAGACAGGGTCACTGAAAGGAAATATGTGAGACTTCCCTATAGCGTAGTAACATTTCACTTTGACCACAGCTGGAATTGTTGAACCCGCCCTCTTGAGCAGCTCAGTTCCTGTTATTGTCTGCGTACACGATGAGTCTGGAAGATTCTTCACCCCCTCTATGTAGAAGTAACAGTGAGACACATGGAGAGATGGAGGAGTCTCACAACTCAGCTGAACTGATTCTCTCTCTCTGATGACTGTAGAACTCACTGTCAGCTGAGGACGGTCTGTGAGAATAGGGGAATTAAGCATTTAGCGGTTTTGAGAAATTTACTGACAGCCTAATCCCTCCTTGTTATGTCAGACTTATCTCATGTAGCGACATTATGGGAAATTAAGGAGTTATCATATATTGCTTGATTACTTCATGTAATAACTTATTACAACAAACAGTATGATAAAATATCCCAAGAGGAACATGGTAATCATGGCACAACAGTAAATTGTTTACAACCATTAAAAACAATCTTCTTACCCTGAATTGTGACTGTAGAAGGCTCACTGTATATGGATCTAAACTGTGAACCTGTAGCACTGTACTGACATTGTATTTTGACCTCAGCTGGTGAACTCTGACCTGTCCACCTCAACAGTAGTGTTCCTGTGAGTGTCTGTTGACAGGGTGATGGTAGGGTAAATTCCACTCACCCCTCTATTTTGAAGTAACACTCAGAGACAGATGGAGGAGTCTGACAGTTCAGCTGAACTGAGTCTCTTTCTTTGATGACTGCAGGAATCACTGTTAGGCTAGGCTGAGGAAGATCTGTGAGATCAGAGGGATGATGGAGTGTCTCTTTTAATTTAATTATGAATTAATTTTCAATGTTTAACTACTCATATAGATCACAGGAGGTTGGTGGCATCTTAATTGGGGAGAACGGTCTCGTGGTAATGACTAGAGCGGAATAAGTGGAATGGTATCAAATACATCAAACATGGTTTCCATGTGTTTGATGCCATTCCATTCGCTCCATTCAAGCCATTATTATGAGCCGTCCTCCCCTCAGCAGCATCAACTCATATAGATACTGTACTACTTAATATTATATAAGTTTGAAAGACAAAAAAAACTGTCATTTACATTTACATTTACGTCATTTAGCAGACGCTCTTATCCAGAGCGACTTACAAATTGGTGCATTCACCCTATAGCCAGTGGGATAACCACTTTACAATTGTTTTTTTTTTTTTTTTTTTTTTTGGGGGGGGGGGGGGTGGGGGGGGGTGGGGTAGAAGGACTACTTTATCCTATCCCAGGTATTCCTTAAAGAGGTGGGGTTTCAAATGTCTCCGGAAGGTGGTGAGTGACTCCGCTGTCCTTGCGTCGTGAGGGAGCTTGTTCCACCATTGGGGTGCCAGAGCAGCGAACAGTTTTGACTGGGCTGAGCGGGAACTATGCTTCCGCAGAGGAAGGGGAGCCAGCAGGCCAGAGTGGATGAACGCAATGCCCTCGTTTGGGTGTAGGGACTGATCAGAGCCTGAAGGTACGGAGGTGCCGTTCCCCTCACAGCTCCATAGGCAAGTGTCGTATCGAGTAAATGCTGGCAATTATTGCTGATAAACAAAGGAGTCTGCTCATACTGAACTTGGATCACAAGGTTTATTCATATCACAAGGTTTCAGCATAAGTGACGGATGTCATGACACCCGGAGAGCGACTTCCCAGATTGCAATGGTCGCTCTAACCTCTTCTTCCTCCAGCATATACTTATATACAATGTAAAAATATGGGTTGCTCCCTCTGCTGTCCAATCACCTGTCTACAACACACAGACTTCTCTGTCCTATCCGGGTGTCACATTAAAACCATTCCCTCTGACACTAAAATAAACGTCCTCTCCGGTTCCACTTAAAAACATTAACAATGTCATAATCTTCATATACGAAATTCCCCCCTTCGAGACTAAACAGTCTCGAAAACAAACAGAATAGGATTATGACAAGTAACAATTCATCTTATTGAGTATCTTTAACATTAAACCAAAAACATTTTCCTCTAGAGTGTATATACCTTTCTATGAAATATGAATAACTGTTTATGAAGTGTGAATACATTACTATGAAATATGAAAAAATCTTTATGGAGTGTGAGAGCGAAAAACTGTCTGGCAACCTTCGTTCCAAATCCATCCATCAATCAAGACAGTAAAATTCTCTCACGGTCCCTCTGCTCCAGGCAACCACCTAGGTACTCCCGATGAACTCATATATCCTTATCAATGCATTTGAAACTATGATGCAATTAAATACACATGTAAGCCCCTGCAAACAAAATACTATCCAAAATGTCCACTCTAAGGCTGGTCAACCCATCGGACCCTACAGTGGAACTCTCTATCCCTGCCTAGACCCAATATCCCTAAGCATCAACGAAATAAACAAAAACATCTAAGATCCCCACATGTATCCAATAACATCAAATATCATTCTACAAAATTAATACCTAAGAATATGACACAAATTATGTATTTACACATGCAAATAGTCTATATTTTTATTGAGACCTGGGAAGTAGTCCCCTAAACCCCCTTC